ATATCTCACTGATACAGCTCATTGATTTCAAAATCAATGCAGGTAAGGCCAGTACGATATGTTCGCGGGCGATTCTTTCGTTCAAACAATTAAGGGGATCCTGGACAGGGGACAATTACCGACAATTACAGTCAAAGCTCGTTCTTTGAAACGGCTTTATAGATCGCAAAATCCTTTTACAGGAGTAAAGTATAGGTACTAATGAAGAGTGGGATTATAAAAAATTAGTAATAATTGAAAAAAAATATAAAAATGCTGTCACCTCATAACCTTATTTTCTAATGTAAACAGTTGTATAAGTTATATGTATACGAAATGAAATGTTCCCACTCTTCAGAATACGTGCACAAACAATAACGTACCTTTGAAATTGAGATTGAAAGCCTGAAAAAAAAATTAGAGCTTCGAAGAAATCGTGCATATTTTCCTCAAAAATATACACGCAGGCTAGTAAGCCAAGTAAGCAGAGATGGCGCAGCAATCGAACAAAGACAAATGTCATTTCGTTAGACAAAGACAGATATAGAAAAAACAAAATTAGAAATGTTGACATTATCGACACCGAGAAAGTTTGGCCGTCAGTCCAACATCCCCTTAAATTCACGAACGTTTTGGTGTTGAAAATGTCAAAAGAGTTAAAAACTGACGCTCTGAACGTTCCGGAAATTTAATTATTTTAACAAAAGAATCGTTTATACATATAGCCCCACAAACATTTGTACTCTTAAGATCTATCCAGACAAACTTGCACAAGTGCATAAGCATATGCATAAGACAATGAATTGGTCCAATTAATTTTACTTATGCTTATGTTTATACGCTATGTGCAAGTTTGCCTGCCTGAACCCTTAGCCTTACTTACAATTACATGAGAGCACAAAGGTCCAATTATTTTCATTCCGTTCGAAATTTCTTCCGTTCGAAACTTTATTATCGTCCAAAACTCTTTGTCATCTCGTCGGTCACAACTTCGTTACGTGTCGTTACATGACTTTGTCCAAAAGACCGTGACAACTGCATTAACTGGTCAACGCGATTCTCGAACAAATTCGGCCAGACACATGTACGTTGCCATTGTGCACCTATATAATTAAATAAAACAGAAAAAAAAAGAAATTTTGAAAAATATAAAAAAAAATTTCCTAAAATAAAGATATAACAGTATTTGCTTTATAAACCGCCGCTGTTAAGATTTATATAGGTTGCCAAACCACCGTACGATGATAGGGGATGCACTCCTATTCACACGAATGATCAATGATCGCGATTGGTCATTTAATTAGCCATTAGTAGTAATTCCTTAATTAAGTTCCCATAACGATCTAGTTACTGATTGAACGTACCATCTAATATTAACCATGACGTTTTATTATGAGAAAGATAAACTATTGATTCACAGGTTTCACGTTATCCTCTCCCTTATCAAGCCGCGAAATGCATTTATTATCTCGTCGCGCACTCTTCGACGTACTTATACGTCATAGAATGAAATTTACAAGTATCGTATCTCTATCGAGTATAAGTTTGTATAGTAACCAAAGTCTAATTAAATATAAAAAAATCCAACAATTATTACAAAAACCCTCGCCGCGCAGTCAGTTCTTTTCGTCAGTTAGTTAAGTTTACGAATTACAACTAGTTTTATGCTTTACATCGATCTATTGGCAATGTTTACATAAGCATACATGTGCCAGGCATTAATTACTTATTTCATCCAAACGGAATCGAATATTGTGTTTACACGTGATACTCCCACTCGGCCCCTGTGATATCTCTAAGAGTTACCGTTAATTAACTAGTACTTAAACAAGAAAGTGTTTCTTTTCGGGTCCCAAGTGACTTAGAGACTGGCTTACTTAAGGAGAACGGATTAACTGTGTGTCACTAAGACTTCCCGACTGGTTTCTTTTTTAAAAGGAGTTTTACTTTCGAGTTTCGCTTAAAATACACCCTGACAGATCGATTGGGATATAACCGAGCCCCTCTCGGGATCGGTTTACGTGACGCGGCCGCAAATGTGACGTGCCAAGTAATACCAAAGAGATGCCAAAACAAATGATGTCCTTGCGACAGGGCAATGGCAATCCCCGATTGTTCCTTCCAAGTTTTTTTTTTCCATTTGTCACCGTTCACTCTGCTATCCCGAACCTCAGTAGTCTCAGTTGCAAGAAATATCTTGAACGCGGATCTGCAGAAACGGATTGCCAAAAATTGGCGCAGCCCAGAAAAATTGCGCAATGAAATAACTGCATCGATGCTGAACTGAATTATAGCAACCGTTTGCCAAAGATTGATGAAGGTAACTGTAAAAATGACCTAATTCCATAGACTGAAATTGCTGTGGATAACCCTGTAGAAAAGACGTACGAAAGATAAGATCCAACTTCCCTAAAAAGAAAAAAATTGATGATTCTTACGAATATTCCTCCGCACTTTATCCTACGCATATTCACCAAAGTACTCGAGATGAACATCGTCTATTTTGTATTTTCACGATTAAACAAGAATAACTGCCTACGATTAAGCAAGTTAAAAGCTTCAGTCTCGATTTGTGCAATGCTATGTCGATCCGAGTCGATCGAATAACAATCGTCGAATAGAATCTAAGCCTTATTTCTACAACGGTTGACGAAAAATATCCTTGCAACTAACATTACTCCGTCAACAGCGTCGATAACGCGCCTATTTTCCACAAAAAGGAAAAAAAAGGTAGTGTTATGTATCTGGTGTAGTTGTTGTATTTATCTAGTATAGATTTTATATATGTATTATATATATATATATATATGTACGCACGTGTGTGTTGTGTGAGGGAGCATATATTTACGTACGTGTCGAACATACGCGTGCACGAATGACCGTGCATACAATGTACATACCTTTAAAAAAATACTTATGACCCCTGTACGATATACGCATATATTTTTAAAGGTATACATTTATACGAGCAGACATACGAGTGCGTGTACATACACATATGTCGTAATGAATATATATATATAGATACATGATAGAAGTAGCGTGTAAACAGTGTTCTTTCAACATATGCTTTATGTTGGTTATTCATCAATCATTAATCATTAATGTAGGAGCTACAAAAGAAATTATGCTCTCAAATATCGTTCACTTGCCTTTTTAAACTTAACTCTCTCTCGCTCTCTCTCTCTCACTCTCTTTCTCTCTCTCTCTCTCTCTTTCTCTCTCTCTCTCTCTCTCTCTTTCTCACATTTCCCTGTCTCTCTCCAAAAGAAAACCTCCTACACCCTTCCTTCCTCTCTGTTTTTCAATTCTATATCGTATCTTTTGGCGTTTTTTTGCGTGAAAGAATTCAAATAGAGATCATGCGCCTCGGCCTGGAACGTACACCTCTGTGCTGTCCAAAAGATGTCCGACTTCAAATCTCATGATTGCTTATTTTTCATTTTTATCTCCCGTTTTTCTATTTCACCATTTTTATCTACAGAGTTGTTATAATTTCACTGACTTTCTTGTAAAGATGTAAACTTTATTTAATATATAATTATTTAATATAATATATTTATTTAATGTGTAATCAACCTTCAGAATACTTAAATATTTTTCACTCAACAATTCTTGTTAAAAAATAAATAAATAAATAAAGATGCGTCAACTTTATCTGTTGTTTACAAAACTTCTTTAGTCATAAAAAACATAAACAAAATGAATTATTATTTAAAATTTATTTTCTTTTTTAATAAATATCTTTTTAGTTTTTAATAAATTTTGTTTTAATAACTGTCAAGAATAAATTTTGCGTACATATTTTTTTATAAATAATAATTATACCTAAAGCTCAAGATGTGTGTTTGATGACTTTCGATATAATTTACTCTCATTAATTTTTTTATATTGTATCATCACAGCTAATAATGTTCAAAGGCTCATAAATCGCATGTCATAAATATAGAAAGTAATTCACCCGGGCTTATCTGTCTCTTATCTTACAATAATTGTTCAATGTGAGAATCAATAGTGTCAAATCTGCATCTATCATCTATTGATGGTGAGAAATGGTTATCAGTAGAAGAGATAGTTCATTGAACATTAATTGTAAGATAAAAATTTAACGGTAATCTATCTGCAACGTAATAGACCGATTAAAAATTATTCGATGTTGTAAACAGAGTAAACTGACAGATAAAATTAAATGAAACGTTTCGTTGAGGTACGTTCGTCGCAGGCATAGACCTTTCATGCGCAAAATATTTTTAGAAGCTTACAGCTTCCACTGCGGAATTCCTTTTGTTGTAACGGATATTCTAGATTGGATCAAACACAATTGAATAGAATATTTCGTCGTGACATCATCAAAGCGGAAAGTCGAAAAGTCGAACATCCTCTTTCAGCACAGGGAGTCATTAAATTCGGGGCACTGGGAGTAAGACGGATGGAAAGCGCGCGAGCGTAAAGATCATTTAACAAATATATTCTTATTATTGAGACGGGCATTACGGCGTCCGCCACGTTTTTATTTATTTTTTTTTATTTTTCAGAAAATCGCATATCGCATATGCAAATAGCCAAATGCGCATGCAGCACACTTGTGTGATACTACTAAACTTACTACCATAGATTTATCTCATTTATTCTCTATTTTATTCTATTCACGATTAGCTCGTAAGGGGATACGACCTTACCAATACAATGCTAAAAGTTTACAAGTATACAGGTCATGTTATTACAGTTAATAATTTCATTTATTATCGTTACAATCATTACCAACTTTACGTCTATTACCTTATTACTTCACACTAAAATATGATAAAAGTAGATCAATCGATTCTCTCATCGTACCGTGTGCGAGATATTATTTTAAAGCATCCCAACGACTGTAGGAATTCCATTCTACTAAAATCGAAATAACCATTCGACCGTTCTCGAGCGAAATAAATAGCGGCATAATATATTCCCCCCCCCCTTCTTGCGTCAAAAAAAATTAAAAACACCCTCTCTTTGTATATATCATTTTATCTCGTTTCTTTTTTTTTTGTATTAGTGGCTCTCAAAGCAATCTAATAAGATCTGAGAATCATTAAGTCTCTCGATCACGTGCCTCAAGATTCGATGATCAAAATAATTATACGTTTTATAGGACTTTATTTATTCGTTTCATCTCCTAGCTAACTTGCCCAATTCGCTAATGCACTCGTGGTTTTTTTTGTTTGTTAAAAATCGCTGATCACTCTCCCGATACACTCATTACTTCTCAGTACTGTGTATTTTCGGATCATTGGATTGTGTGCGTGTGTGTGTAAGAATCGTGGATAGAGTATAGACTGTCTTGCGTGTGATTTATCCCGCTAAGGCGGCCTCTCAATTCCTCCTTCTCTCATCTTTTCTCCTCTCGTAACGATTGAAATATCAGCCCGCTGCACAAACCTTAACATAAACATATTTTAGAATTTTCCCTTATATAAAACTCACTTGTTTAAATCTCTACATTGTTTTTCGCATTACTATATACGTTTAAGACAATAATTACCTTGTCCTATCAGACTCGCAGGAGAGAAAATCACCTTGTAATTATAATTTAATGCCTTAACTGCTTCTATGTAAACGTAATTTAGAATATATCTCGTGTGTGTATAACACATTTGTCTCTTATATTAATCAGCTTTGTCTCATTTGAAATTATTATTATTTTTTTTTACTGCCTTATACTCGCGCCCGCACGTGCGAGCGATTATCACACTACCTGAGTACAATATATACCGGCGGCCTCTTCTTTATTATCTGACCTCACGCATTGTCTTAATACAGCTAAAGAAAAAGCAGGCTAATAATAAGGTTTTGGTCTTGTCGAGATTTCCGAGGGGAATCGTACGTCGATATTTGTTTTCGGTTCTTCGCGAAAATTACGTTGTGTCGATATTCAATTATCCGAAACGAAGCAAGATCGATTTGACAAAGAGTAGACTCAGGCAGTGACGAAACGATACCTTATCGCCGAAAATGTGTCCTTCTTCTCTCGATTAATTTGACGCGTTATCGCGGCTGCACTATAATGTTCGTTTCTCGACCAGATCTCACGGTTTATCGGCAGATAAATGCCCACCCTGTCTAATATCGGTCTTACCTATCTGCTATTGAACGACGCGATTCCGTTGGAGAGATTATGGTGCACTATGGTAATAATAAAAATAATAATAAAGAAGAGGAACTGCGCGATGTTCGCAATTTTAAAGATTAACAATCGCTTTGATGAAAATGCAACAGCCAATGATTACACATTGCGGTACCAAACTAAGACACATATATTATAATAATTAAAAACGGCAGGAGAAACTCATGTATATCAATAGAAAGTGTTTTTTCCACGATGGAGTTACGATACGAGTAATAAGTAGTTAAGTGTAATATTTAATTATACGACCAGTCTTTAGTGTGCGGGACGATAAAACGTGCGCTTAACGTTAAAAACAGACATTTCGCGACGTCCCCGGAATTATTTATACATTTAAGGACATTTCTTTAAATATCGAAATACTTAACTTGCTTGGCAAAAAAAATCTAACTCGCATGCTACGCATTCGCTTGTAGGATGAACAAAGATGAATCCACATATTATCTAATTAAGTTAATAGAGAAAAAACCAACGACTTAACTTAGTGGCTGTAATATTTATAGTTTCCTTCTTTATATATGCTGTGTTTCGCTCCGACTGTACGTTGAAAAAATAGTTTAACACGAAATCGTCTAAATGCATGAAAAACGGAGAGAGGCATTTACAGATACATGTGTGTGTTTGTGTGTATGTGTATGTGTGCGTGTACGTTGTGTGTGTGTGTGTGTGTGTGAAAAAATAATAAAATTTCTCATTTTTTATTTAAGAAATGAAATAAGAGATTACAATTACGGATACGTTCTTTACAATTATGGAAAGTCATCATAATTTATAAATTGCGAAAACTGGCACGATGATTAGTTTAGCATTAATAAAAAAAAAACAAGTAAAACTGCTGAAATTTGCAGCTCTTTTGCAAGCATACGTAACACCGCAAAGAAATAAAAACAAATTAATTGAAATCTAAAAAAGTTCTAACAGTCAAACTTCTTATAAGCAGTAAAACGAATTTTTTATAAGCAACCCAAATAGATAATATTTTTAATCCAACAGTAATAATTTTACCAAAAAAATTGTTTCATTTTTAAGAAAAATGTTTTAAAAATATATACAATACTCAATTCGCTCTCCCCGTTTCTCAAAGTCATGATTGTCATATAGAATAAGAAACCTAATGATCTGTAGCAGATGTCGAATACAAAGATATCTTTTAAACGTGTTTAATGTCCCATATAGAACAGAAATGAGGGATGCCTCGATCTACTTAAATAAAGATGACGGATTGTCGAAAGTATCGCAATAAAGGCGTTTCAATACTGAACCTAGGGTTTCCTTACAGGATACTCGGCATGTAAAGTGCCTTCCTTTAAGGTGCCAATTCATGAGCCGCTGAAAATGAGCGTCAACAAGGTGAACGTAGTGGTTTCGCTTTGACGCTAGCGTCAAAGAAATGAAGTTGAATTTGTTTAATATTCAGCGTCGTCGCTGAATCGTCGTTAATCGTCCCAGTACAATTAAACATAGACTTCGAAATACGTAAAATATTAATTATTTTTAAGTAATATCTTCAAGTAATAATATATTTTATGGATACATATATAAATAAAAGATATTATTTCTGAAGATTTTTACTTGCTAAAAATGAGCGTCGAGCGTTAACGTGAAAAGGCACCTTTAAAAACGAAATAAATACGAGCGATTCAGAGCAGTAAGAGTAGATAAACATAAGACAGGGAGGAAAAAAAGAGCTCAAAGAAACAATAATAAAAAAAAAAGAACAACAACAACCCTGAGAGCAAGCCGCACAGTTCGCGAAAACCGCGAATGAGGCAGGTAGTAACAACGGCTAAAATCAAAGTATATCTTCCCTATATGCTATCTGTTACATTAATTAGATGCGTCATTTCTGTATTTAAAAATACTAATAATATTGCGTTGAATATAAATATATTATCTGTTATAATTAGTAATCGTCAATTATATTCGAATAGTCCCGCTCTAAAGCCTCCTTCGTCCTGCCTTCGTTTTGTGTGTTTTTTAAATTTCATTTGCGCCACCGCTTCCGCTTCCTTCTCCCAACTATATTACCGTCTCATAATCTAAAATATTTTGTATGTACATATAGTTGTAGCCATTAACTCTTTGTAATCCTTTCTTTTTTTTCCCTCCCCCGTCTCCGCGCTAATATTTAAATTTACTTTTATCCGTCTGAGACTCGTTAATATAATAAATTAATTAGCTCGTTTATACCAATCCTCATACCAAACGCATCGATTATACTTAAGTGTCCTGTACAAATCAAATGTAATAATCGCATTTCCTTAACACCTCGCATACACTTAAGACTTTAAAATTCACGCTTTAACTTTAGTTAAAAATCGATAATAGTAAGGAATACAATATTAGTTGTAATAATTATAATTGATACACTATAAAGGTTCTTATTCCGCATCGTTATTTATCGGTATTTATTCTCTATAAAATAAATTGTAAAAAACAGCCGTAGATAAAACACGTCGCTTATTTGCCGCTCCCTCCTTTGCAAGTTAGGTATTAAATAACGCGTTATTTATTTAGAACAACCATAGTGTTTTTTCATCACGTTTTCATTTATATATTTTTCCCTTACGAATTTATCGCTTGAATGTTCGATAATATGTTAACTATTTAACCCTTTAGTTTGCAAACGCTGTAAATATATTTTTTTTCCGGGATTAAAAACTAAAATTGAAAATTAGGATTTGCTTTTATAGAAGTTCTCAATCCAAATTGAGTAGAGGCAAATAAAAGTTTAAGTAAATCAACATCGAAACTCTGTCTTCTTACTAAAATTTGACATCGTTACATTGTATATATGTATTGAAATTTTATTTACAATATAGGACTTAAAATATAATGAATTTATATAAATATAATGCATTTTAATTTTATTTATTAAAAATTTTAGAACAGCCGCAGCGCTAAAAGGTTAATTAGTTTGCTTATTTTGCGCGTTTAGAGGTAAAAGTATGTGTGTGTCTGTGTGTGAATACGTATTCATGAGTGTATATCGTTTATCTGTTTCCTTTGTATTATCATAATAATTAGGGTGTAAAATTGGTTGTTTGATTGAGCTCTCTAGTTCGCACTTTTGTTTCGTTATGTGTTTAGTTAATTGTGTTATTGCGTTGATCCCAAAAGTTCACACGAGTCGCGTTTGTTAACATTGCACTCGTTTTTTTTTCTTCATCCGATTGGCGTGTACAACACCGGCTTTTTCTCTGCGATACATTTCGTCGCAGACGAAAAAGAGAAGTTACCATTATAAGATTTCTAACAAAATGCAAAGTGGTTTCTAAATTCGAAATCGATACGTCGATCGATATACCCCGGTAATAAATACAGTCGTAAAAAAAAAGATTGGCTTATTCTACAGCTTTGAATGCAACGCGATTCAACACTTTATTGTCAGGATGCGTAACAAGCACTAATGACATGAAACAGCGAAATGAATAACGGAAAGAATGCGAAGAAAAATTAAATTAGCAGTCGATCGTTTTGCACTTAAGATACAATGAAGCCTTACACTGTCGTTCGATGGACAAGGAAAAAAAAATTATGGGCAATAGTAAAATTACGTTATATGAGATCACATTTATAACGCTTAACGAAATTGCTGGATTCTGTAACCGTAATCTATTTAATTACACCTTTACGTGTGGTATATAAGGTCTATCTTGGTGAATTATACATTAGCATAATACTCGCCATTCTCATCGATAAAGTAAGACACAACGCGACCCGCTCGGTAATTAAACATGAGCATTTGGAGAGCACTCTTCCGAAATATTCCTCGTTTAGATCTATGGTAAATCCTACAGAGTAAATACAATTAAGTCATATATTTAATCAGGTAAACTTTTCAGGTCGATATCCCCCACCGAGACATATCCACACGATTACAATATACCCCTCCCTCCACCTTATCTATCAATGATCTCGTTCTACTGATCTAAAATTTAAACACTTATAAGCATCATCGCATATTTCATAATTATCGTCGACAGTAATGATAGTGTAATAGTAATAGTGCAGTTGTAGTACTTGCAGTAGTAGCAATATAGCAAGAGTAAACAGTGATAAGTATTAATAGTAATAATAGTTGTATACAATAGTAATAATAATATAGAATTAATAGTAACAATAATAATCGTAGCCTTAAACGTGCCTAATAGTATTATAAATCGGAGGTAAAAAATAAACCAGTTTCCACGTGCATTACAGTATGGTCGAACAGAAGCCAGTCCGACGGCCACACACTAAGTTCTTATAATACAATTTGTAAAAATATTTATGATTGTTTGTCGGGTTTTCTTTTCTCCTTGTCCCCTCCCATTTCGCGCGTTGATATCATTTCCAAATCGTTGGAAGAATAGGAAAGCAGCTTGCTAAACTAATTTAAGGAATCAGTATTCAAAGTATCAGTAAACAAGAAAAAAGAGAAAAAAGGAACTGAGGAAAATACGTATTTAAGATATTACTAGTGATATGACATGAAAGTAAAAAAAAGGACGCCTACAGAAATCGCATCCTGCTGCTGTGTGTCAAAGATTTATATAGATATACATACACCATATTAAAATGTTCTATATATTTTACACTATTCTCTGTAGTCAGCCTGTGTGATCGTCTTACTTAATTATCTCGTCAATTATCTCGTTATATCATTTTTCTTTTTTTCTTCAATTATCCGGTAATAACAACTATTTAATAAATACAAGATCGTGGAGGGACGAGTGTCTCGAATGTGCAAGTCATTCGCGCTGACTTTCCATCAGAGACCATAGTTTAAATATTTCTTTTCGTTTATTCTTATCATCTGTGTTACATATACCGTGTCTGCTAACGATTAGGAAGTGAACAAGCATCTAATTTTGTGCTTGCCTTGAGAAGAATTTCTTCTCGAACGAAAACTTATTCACCTCCATAATAAATGCCATTAACGATTAAATGATTAGCATTCCTGATTCTTTACGCTCGCTTTTACTTTGTTTACACACTTTAGAATCTTTTTTTAGCACATTATTTGTATTTTTACAATTTAATATCGCGCTTCCTTTCGTCTATTTCCCAGTGCCATACAAACTTCACTTGCATCATGGGTATGTACCCTAACACTGTCGATTTGTTTATTTTACTTAACAATGAATATTTAATTTATATTCTTTATCCAGAAAGATCGTGAGCCGTTCTCACGAGCGATCAATGAAGAAATCAATATCTGAAAAAAGCCTTAAACTCCTTCTTTGATACTTCCGTTGGCCAAGTTTACAAGATGTGTTTCGATATTATCAAAAAAAAGGTATCCGTTAATTCGACCGCTCGCGAACGACATGCTGGCATGAACAAGAGACACTTTGCTTTTTGTCGTCGATTTTGTTTGCAGATCTTAGCGACTTTTTTATCGAGTATTTTATTGTACAACTAATCATAACTCTAATTGGCTGGTTTCTACAAAAATACATAGTGCCAAATTTCTCTAAATGACAGGTATCTTCCTCTAAATGGCATTTCTAATGCTTAAGAAACGTGAATCGACAGAAGAATGTCTCATGTCATGGCGCAGATTTCACGATCAACATACAGTTTGCGTTTATCTTGAATATGAAGAAATAACCCACGAGCAAGGCCAAGCCATTCAGCGCATCTCTCCAACTCGAGTTAATTAAAATGGTCATGAGGTGGGCCACTCTTTGAAATCAAAGCCTTGCTGGCCGGGTTTAGGAGCGCTGGCGGCATACCCACCTTGACTATTTTCTCCTCCTTGATACGAACGCTGAGGATAAGAAGTATCAGGGTAATTACTGTATGCAGAGTACCCAGTGTAATCTGGAGTCTTGGTCGAACTGCTGCTGGATCCCGGCGCACCAGAACCGGTATTTTGCCGCGAATACATGTCACCTGCAACATTTGTATACAACACTAAGTCATCGTGCTTATCTCGTTCTAATAAGTTGTAAAAAAAATGTAAAGAAAGTGAAGTTAAACATCATGGTGCTTAAAAAATTATTATTAAATCTAATTATTTACGGTGTACACAATTTACATGGTACACTACCTTATGCTACTATCTAAACATCGTAATATTCAAAAATCAAAAGAATAAATAATAGATAAAATTAACATACAGAAATATACAACTATTACTTTTATATATGAAATAATATTATTGAAGAATATATATATACATAAGGTTTTTTCTGTTTATTTTCTGTCTGCGTTTATTAAATTTATTTTTTTGCATCTTTCAATATTGAGAAATAAAGATAAATAATCAAACATCTTTGCTACATGACAAAGATAAATTTTTGAAACAACTTTTCAGAGACAACAAAATAACATATTTTATTCCGCTTATGTAACAAATTGCAAAAAGCATCATAATAGTAATAGTTTTCTGTTTATGAAAGTCTTAATCATTCTTTTCAATTATTAAGTTTCTTTTAAAAAGATTATATTTAATCACATATAATGTATAACATATATACATATATGTATATATATATATGTATACATATGTATGATATAAGTATATATTAAAAAGATATAGTTTATATATAATTATAAATATACATGAATTTTTTGAAATAAAACTTAATAATAAAAAAATTTATAAGAATTTATATTATTTACTCTTATATCCTTATAACACTGCAAATAATTTTACTCTGCAAACATCTGCGCATAAAAAAATCTCGCACCTAGTATCTAAAGTCTTATAAAATTAAATCATATACAGCTATTACATGAACTTTAAATCAGCTATTACAACATCAAGATAATGAGATCAGTATTCATATATTAATTTATATATGCGATTAATTTACTTTTCAATATCAATCTTTACATGAGAAATGTAGAGCCACGCAATAATAAATTATAATTATATCAGAAATTTTCTAAGCAACTTATAAAATATCTAAATCTTGTTAAAAATATTTTAAAGTAATAAATAATATACACTCGAGATATATAACTGCTTTAATCATGCATTTAATATCAAATAACTATTTATTTAGTATCAAATAACTATTTAGTATCAATAACTATTTAGTATCAAAAACTATTTAGTATCAAATAACTATTATGATCATATAGTAATAATAAATAATGTATGATAATAAATGTATGAACAAGCCATTTTAGCACCTTAAATATTTAAATGTCTCATATTTCTCATATACAATTATAGTTTTTGTACTATACATTTGTGCTCACAATTATCATTTACAAATTGTAAAAATCAAGAGACACGGCAGTGTCTCGCGCCAAGTGTAACGCGCAAAGTTGCACGTTACACTGACGCTATATTACTTTAAACAACAAATAATATAAAAATATTCACATACAAATAACTCAATTTTTACAAATAAGATATTTATATTAATTACAGGCTTCATTAAGTGACACAGTTACAGTTAAATACAAACTATGTTTTACAATAAAAAGCACTAGGTAGACATACATTTATTACACACAGACAAAGATATTAAAAATATTATACTGATCTCAGGATCTTAAAGACGAATTGATGTCGGTTGTATAATTTCCATTGTCTTTTTAAATTTTTATAGCCTATAAAGCAAATAGCTGGTAGTTATTGACGTTTCAAGAATAGATCATATTTGTAATTGTCAATAGAGAAGACATTAATTCGTCATTAGTCAAACAGGCGATAAAAGGAAATAGAGGAGAGAATACAGAATATTATTATCCTGCATCACAAATAATTATAGAACATTAATTTTCTTTAACTTTCGGCATTTGTAAAGTGATTATTTTTCTTTTATAAATTATAACATGCTCTCGGATCTTGGGACAAAAGTATCTTTTGAGAATCTGTTCTAAATCTGTTATGATATGTATACTATAAAAGTATGCAATACATATATATATATATATATATATATGTATATATTTTATATTTATATATATATATATATATATATATATATATATATATATATATATTATATACACACATCACATACACACACATATATATATATATATGTCATTTCCAATGATAAAAATGGTTAAATAACTCGATAAATGGGTACTGGCAGGGTACATGCTTTTCGAGAATCTATACGTAAAAAGTTAAGCGTAAAAGGTGTGTTTGAAAGACAGATTAACAAAATGTAATAAAAAAATTTGCAGAGGAAAGGAATATCTGGGATAGGTCAGGACGCTTCAGTAAAAAAAAAAAACTAATTTAAACGTTATGGCTCAGAAATTACCGTTTCTAATACTCGAGGCGTGATCTATAACATCGTGTAGCGAATAAAACATGAGATAATAAAGCAGATATGATGGGAATAGAATAGTTGGACGAGCGGCAGTGCGTCAAGCGTACAGCAAGCATTACTTTCGATCCAAAGAATGAACAATATGCAACGAGCATATGGCTATATCCCACTATCCCCACTCAGTTCAAGCAGAAGCCAGTATCTATACGCCGTCTTCTATTTATTCTATATATATATATGCAAAATGTACACGTATAAAAATATAAATGTGCACACGCGCACATATGTATGAAATTATATTTCAAATGAAATTATAATATGAAATTATATTTCAAATGAAAAAGGGTGATTTCTGAGCCTAGTATACTCATTGTAAATGTAAGTACAAATTTTATTCTACTTCCTTCAATCTCCATTGTAATAGCTATCACGTTATTCGTCAAATGTACAAATTTTCAGTGTATTAATTATTAGAAACTCAAGCATAGTATGTTAATGCAATTTTTTATTTAAAAAATAAATGTTATACATGCTACACATAATCTATACAAAAATAATTAACGTAATACTTTAACCATTCATTACTTTCTTCTTAAAAGCAGAATTACTGTTAAAATTGTACAATCTTGAAAAAGTATAAAAACGTTAATATAATGTTACAAAATTCATCAAGCCTATTTATCTCGCAATTGTTAAACTATTAATCCAATTGTTAACATACATATATGTGCTATCACATAAAATATCGCAGTTAACAAAGTCAGTTATGAGAATTGGAGGAAGTCTCTACGTCACAAACCAAAAAAAACAATGAACATTCTATATGTTGAAAGCATCAACCCTTTGAGTACGATGAACCTATATGTACGTTCAGCGAAACTCAATCGGTGTGATCTATGGATTCATATGTATACGACAAAAATCGTTGGCGTGGCTTATGGACTTATATATGCGTTCGATGAAAGTCATCAGCATGGCTATGGACTCATGGACTAATATATACGTTTGGCGACGTCTCCCTTATATTCTCAACATAAGTAAAAATTATGATATACATATGTATATCACAATTCCAATCACTGCAGCCGTCATTATCGCGATCACCAAGTGCATCCATAGAGAACGTTCAGCTTCTAAGTGCTCCGTACTCAAAGAGTTAATTCTCTCGAAGACCACTAGACATAAAATCAGGCTGGTATAAAAAATTACATTGCTGTAGCTAGGCGCATAGAATTAGGTTCAGAATGGAACTAATTGCGATGCCAAAAGGGTGGAAAGAGGAAACTTTGCTTGACTTGAGCTTGAAGACTCACCCTGCGGGCCAGAGGGGTTCGAGTTGGAGTTGGGCTGCGAGGAGTTGGGCTGAGGGGGCTGGGGTGGGGGCTGGGTCCCAGGAGGAGGCCCATTCTGTGGCATGTTCCAGGAGCTCCAGGAGCCCCCAGGCCCGCCTCCCGCAGCCCCGCCAGTACCCGCCGTGGGCCCGTAGCCCCCTGAAGCGGCCGCCGCCGGCCCACCTGCGATCATCAACCACACAAAACACGTGTCACCGACCGCATGTCACAGCTCACCTCATTTTTCTTACCACTCTGTTTAATTTATATCACTATTGTTTTTCCTCTAATTTGTTACAAATGTAAAGATGTCTCTACTTCTTCAGCGTTACTTAAGAATGCCTCTTCGGCGACTTAAACATTCATGCTTGGTTCTCTTAATGAATAACGTGAAAGAAGAAAAAGAAGAAAAAGAAAAAGAAAAATAAAGCGTTAGATAGGCGATGATAGTATATGCAAAAGTTGTTCTTGCAAAAAACATTAAATATGTGTATATGTCGTAATATAGATTACAGCAGTATAGATAGCTCTATTTTATAATACATAAATGTGACAATTGTTACCGTGAAATGTAAGCATGTGACATGTTATCATACCCAATGTTAGTACTTGCTATCTTTAAGCATATTAGAGATAGTACACTATTTTTAACATAGCAATTGGTGCTTTAAGATAATATGTTGTAAATAAGTGGAGTAAGAATATCGTTTTAGTGTAAAACAAAGTCTGTGTAAAGATTCAGGCAAGTAAATTTCAATTAAAAAATAGATAAAAAGATTAAACTTAAAGAGAATCAAGCATATTTATAGATAAAATAATAAAGTCTAATAGAAAAAACGATATAAGAAAGATTAAACTTGAAGAGAATCAAGCATAATATTTATAGATAAGATTATGAGGTTCAATATTTCGAATACGTATATATATATTTAAGATATATGTTATGTCAATCCAAACTAAGTGTTATTCACAATACTTGGAGATAATTAGTTAAAGTTATATCATAATTGTAGTTGCATATTTTACATGATTACTATAATATAATAATTACTAATAAAATCTATACATATCTATACATTTATATCAGACCTGGAAAAATTAAAAACTAAAAAAAAAATAAGTTATTTTCAAGAATATTTATAGAAATAACATTCTCTTTTAAAATTGCATTATGTTAAAGTTATACAATCCGCTTGTTATATAATAATAATAATAAACAAAACACAAGTCTGGGCTGACATAATTACTTAGTTTTTTAACTTTCTTTGTATCACAACACAGCCTATTATTCTAAATTCTTTCTAAAAATCTCCAGGGGGCATCGTAAAAGTAGATCGTATTATATTATAATTTGTAAATTTCTCATGTTCTTATCTTTTTCTTTCTTCTTCTAACCTTTCTAAGCAGGATGGAAGAGGATAGGAACAGGATCTATTATGTTCATTTAAGTAAAATTTTATTGCTACCTAAAGTAGGTATAAACGAAGTTGATACTTTTGATCAGACTTTAACAACTTTAGAAAAATTGTTCATATAGCGGTTTAACCACATGTGTCAATAATATTACCGTAAATTTTAATTTTTCCAGCGAGTATTGATATCAACGTCGTTCATAATCATGTACCCTGTGTAAAATAATGCAGTAATCCATTCAATAATATTGTCAATTTCTATTGCTCAAATAAATTTTCTTTAAAAAATCTCTTTAACTTTGCCAACTGAATATCAGCTGTTAATATTTTACACCGACAATATAATCGACAGATTGGAAAACCATTTTTTTTACATATATCAAAATTTTCTAAAATTTGCGTACCTCGGTCAATAAGTTATTGCTATCAATATCGGGCGAAAAGTGTGTTGAATTACATTAAAACTGTCTCATACTAATTCACAATCGATTGGATTAAGATCTCGATTAATATTTGCTAATAAACAGAAGAGGGGAAATGCGTGGCTTTTCGGAATTACATCCGAACTCACCATAGCTTCCGTAACCTTGGGTAGCTGCAGTAGGTTGAACGTTATAACTGCTAGCACCCCATTGATGCGGCGGCGGCGGCGGGATTTGCTGCTGCTGCGGCGGTCCTGGTGGTGCGCCCCAGCCCTGAGCATTGTACTGGGTGCTGTAACCCGCGTATCCACCGGTTGGCGGATTGGTACCCCAACCCTGATATTGTTGCATCATATTACCAGGCGGACCCATGGGTCCTCCCATCATGGGCCCACCCATCTGCCCGTTCGGTCCACCCATAGGCCCCATATTTCCGGCCATTCCCATCGGTGGGCCACCCTGTTGAGGTGGGCCCCACTGACCCTGATGACTATCGTTCATTTTGCTTGATGAATCCCGCGGTTCTGCCCTTTTAATTTCAACCTGAAATGAACAGATACCACACATATGTATTATAAATTTAATTCTTTCTAACAAAAATAATAAAAGTTTCAGACTTGTATCATCAAATTTTTGAAAAAAATTATAGAAATTTACATTATCGTCATCTACAATTATCTTTACAAATTAATGTATATTTTAGGCTAACAAGTGGGCTATCGTTAATTAATTTTATACTCTGCACTAACGCTTGTGCTACCTTATATAGAAATAATATTTAACTCTAATTATAAAATAGAGAGCCATTAACTGAACTTATATTGTAAACTAACACATTTTTTAGTGTAATAATACTTATATAATAAATATTTAAAAATATTTATCACACTTAATACTATTCAAGTTATAAAATTAATTCAATTCTATCCCTTTCAATTCTACGTATAGTTTGTATATACAGTAATGTTCGTATTAGTAAATAAATTTATGTGACTAAAATTCTTATATAATATTAATAGGCTTCAAGGGAGGAACAATATCATCACATACTTATTTTCTATCTTTTGCATAAAATCACACAGTTACATGATGATGGTGTATTGATGTGCTATACCTGCTTTCCATTCAGGTTGACAAAATGTTCTGCGACACATCGGTCCACTGCTTCTTCATCCTCAAAACTGAGAAAGCCGAATCCTGTCGTCCAAACGTGAGAGAGTATAATCAAAAAATGTTGGCCACAATAATACGAGAAAACAGTTTTTACAATCAATGCATAAAATATGCACACTACCAAAACCTTTTCCCTCCCAAAAAAAAACAACTTACAACCTTCAGTCTTATGATACTTATTAAGTAATAGATTTTGTCATTTATATTACTAAATTAATAAAATAATCGCTTTATATATTGCGCAATGTAGATTCAGTAATTCATGGTATGATTGGCACATTGTAATGATCTATATATTATGATGGTAAGATTTAACAAATTAAAGTTAACACAGTTCAAAGTCCATTAGAACGCTAATTTATTTAACGTACTAATACACAAACTTGCTTAAAAAAAAAAATCATATAAGAGACAGACAGCAGGAATTGAGGAAGAGATTGTGCCACATGACTATTGGCTGAGCACATCTCTCCTTGTTGCAACCAGATTTATCGCAATGTTTCATTAGGTCATTGTGACTTTTAATAAAGGTACTTTTGAAATGACAAGCATTTAAAATATATTATGAGGAGTGAAAAATTACACTATTACACTAAATATAAAAATCAATAATTTATTTTTTATGTTTACAATTTAATTTAAAAATTATTCCTCAACTATCCATGCTCACTTTTTTATTACAAAATTAAGAATTAATAAATATTTATTTATTATAAATAATTAATCATTTATTTCTTATCTATATTGATTAATGTCAATACTATTACGCAATTAGTGATTGTAATTATTAATCTTTCTATACATAATCTAGATTAATATATAAATATCGCGTTTAAATTGTGGAATTTGTATCTAAAAGTTTTAGTAAACAACCGCAAATAATGGTAACAATTTTAATAGTGATAAGATTCAAACTTAAAATTTTCATATTAAATTTATAGCACACACCATCTGTATTTCTATGGTCGGTATTCATAGTCGTTTTTTATTTTAAGACCGTCTTAAGTAATGTCTTAATGCTAATACGGCTATCACATTGGTTCATAACAGCTTAAGATCGTACTTAAGATCGTCTTAAATATGAGATTCGACTATAAATGCCGGCCTAAATATATTTTTGTATATAAGTTCTATGTACAATATAATATGCAATAAAAATTATGATGCCTTATGATACAGATAGGATAAGCATTATTATTAAACAAAGAATACGTCCGTTATCAGACGATTTTGTAAGATTAAAATTGTCTTGCTTTTTCTACAATTTCAATGACGGCTGACTTTAAGAAGCTTCTAAACAGAAATAGAATTTCGTTCAATGTAAGGAAATAGCATATAAAGCCTTAGAATATCGGCTTCTTGAACGCAGCCGTTCAAACAGTCTTTATAGCCGAAAAATATTTTAAAATAATTGATAATAATTGCTCGTATCTAATTGGATTTGCTAAATACTAGTCACAATCTTATTTGTAAGCATAGCAATGATGCTTAGCCAATAGTTTCCAACTAAATATTTAATCGTGACTTAATTCAGTGTTATTGTGATTAACAATTATTTTTTAAGATAACATGCGTTATTATCCGTTTTACAAAGTAACTTTTATATAAGATTAATATAAATAAGATTATAATTATGGACAAAAAATACATAATTATAGATAAAAAATTACATAAATGAGTTACTCTCAATAAGAGGTCTAATAGATAATATGTATTAAATGATATAAAAAAATGGAACTTGTAAGATTTCTTCCTAATTACATAGCAAACTTAAGCTATGTGTGATTTACAGTAGCATAATCTGACAGAGCCTTACGTAATAAAACTTAGCCGGAAACGCATTATTTATAAATAACTGTATTTAATTTAATGTAAAATACCGCAATATGATGTGTAACAATAATGAAAAAAGCAAGATATATTATTACAAGAGATAAATCAGGATATCGTAATAATTGCGCAATATTAGATAGATTTAAATATAATTGTTAAAAATCTTACAACAATCATTATAAACTGCACTAGACAAATATAAATTACAAATATAAAAATTATTTATTCTTATTAATCTTATATCAATTTTTATTGTACATCAATAATGGGTGTGCTGTAATCGTCAGAATTTTTGATCGAAACAAGTTTGCTTTTAAAAAATTATTTTTAATGCCAATTAAATATTCAACTTTATTTTCATTTATCCTCCTATATTTACAATATAATAAAAAAACATTTTTCAAGAATTCTGACTGTAACTCTGATCATCATAATAAAAATATTTATTTCATCACTTTGATGCATTATTTAATAGTTTTCACGACTTATTTTCGAAATTTATAACACTTAGAATATCGAAAATGTTACTTTGAAACTAGCAAAACATATATAACTCTTCCCCTCTTAAGGAGAGAAAGGAAAAGAAATAATAAAATACCTGCAATGCTAATAAAAATATCTTACAAAAATGCCGTAAAAATCATCAAATGCATCAACAAATATATCTTGATAAAAAAATCACTCGTACTCACCTCTTGATTTCTTCTTCTCCTGATCATACATTATGACTACTTCCATGACTTTACCAAAGCGAGTAAAATAGGATCTTAAGTCAGTCTCCGTCACGTTACTTGGCAAGCCACCAAGAAAGACTTTCGGGAAACCACCGCTGCGTTTTGGCTTTTGTAGAGTACGCGGATTACACGGTTTTGGATCAATCTGTAACGCGAAACATCAACAAAATAGGTTTCATGTAACTTTTATTTAATATACATTTAAGATCATTGTACTGTCTCAATCTCCTCAATTTCAATGTCCTCAATTCCACAAAAATATAATGTCATTATATATAAAGGATGAAGTATGGCTCCATATATAAGAGTATTCAACTCATAATTAACAAGTTAATTAAAAAACTTAAATTTTCGAGTGGAAAAGTACGGGATCGTATAAAATTGAGTTTCAGGAATCATAAACCGATACATACTTGACACTAAATATAATTTTCTGCAATATATTTAAATACGATTCTACAATCTTATTTAAGATAAGTATTAGGATACATACCGTACGTCCATCAAGCTGGTGGGGACCATTTTGAAGGACCAGAGAAACATTAGCGGGATCGCTGAATGTTACAAATCCAAATCCACGACTGCGACCAGATTCGCTGTTTTTCATAACAACACAATCGATGACTTCACCATAACGGCCGAAGTAACGTTGGAGATTTTCTTGGGTTGTCTCCCATGATAATCCACCAACAAACAATTTTCTGGAACGAGACAAGAGTATCTCTTCAGTATCGTTAACATACTAATTTATTCACTACGCAGTAATACAATTTGCATGACCGATAAATAATATGTCGCTATCGATGGGTCTTACATCTACTTGAAATGAAATCTACTTCTTATCTTTACAGGAAAAATACTCGGTGATATTTCTCGAAACACGAGTCACACAAACGAGTTCTTCAAGTCATTTTTATCCTTCATATTAATAGTAATATTTGAAAAAAAATATATATTTTTTTTTTTATATAAAAAGAGATCCTAAAATTGTTTCAAAACAGTTTCTGAAAATAACATTAACATGTAACAATTGTATAATTTACATCTCAAGCATATTAATTCATTTCAATGTTTTAATTATTACTGTTTAATAATTAGATATTCTATAAACATATCTGAAGAGAGATTGGTTTATAATAAAAGTGGACGCTTCAAGCTCACATCACACAAACGTACGAATCCTCTCAAAGCACAGCGACAATCCTATCCTTTTTCATTTACAAATGATGCAACTCTTATACCGACACTTTCATACGCGGTATAAATATTCATGAGCAACAAACGTGATAATTCCGCATATCGCTTTCTAAACTACTTCAAAGTAACCAAGCTCAAGGTAGACACTTTGAGGAGTCGCGTCCCAATACTTCGGAGCACGCGAATTTGTAGAAGGGGAGAACCGGCTGCTCCAAAAAGATAAAAACGTGCTGAGTCATACGAGGCATAAATACCGCCGGCGCCGTGCCGATGCTCACGAATATCAAAATCAATTGATATCCACAACGCCATTCGTCCCCCCGTCGCCGCCGCCGTCGCCGCCGTTTCGAAAAACTCAAACACGCTATTCCTACACGTTATCGTTCGCATCCGCTCTCTCGTTACCGCGCGCGGAGGCGCCGCGCCGGAATCCTCCAGACGGGACCGCCGCGCGGGCTCCGCTCGGGAATTGGAGCATAAAAATAGAGAGCAAACCGGCACAGAGGACGGGCGCCCGAAAACGCGAGGCGCTTTCGCGCACCGCTCTCAGTGTGCGCTGCCATAAAAGAATGCGCGGGCGACGAACGGGACCGCGGAGGCAGCGGTGGCGGCGGCGGAGGGCGGGAGCGGAAGGGGATCTCGAATTTTCGCGGAAGATCCTGACGAGTCGAGAGCCCGACGGCGCGAACGCGCGGCAGAGCGAGAAGAAGTCGCCGCGTCTCGCCGCCGCCGTCGCCAAAAAGGAAAAAAACCGCGAACCGCCAGCGTATACGGCGGCATAGTGTCCGCCGTTGACCGCGATGACGTTCCACGTCGTCGCAGGACGGAATCCACGACGGCGTGGAAGAGTCGAGAGAAGGACGAAGGGATCCGTTCCCGCGATCGCCGGCGCCGGCGACGGCGACGGCGACGGCGACAGCGGTGGTGGTGGTGGTGGTGGTGGCGGTGAGCGGTAAACGGGAACGATGATGGCCCCGCCGAATACGAGGAGCGCGAAGGACGGCGCCGGGCGCGGGGGGTTACGCGATACCGCCCGCGCCGACACCGAGGGGGCACCCGGTTTCTACTCACCCCTTTTCGTCGTCGTCCATTTCGGTCTTCACTCTCATAATATTTCACTTAAAACTACGAGAACGCGGTCAATTTCAGGGCGCGAGTGGGAATATGGCACGATGCTTTAGCGCGGACGAGGGTAATGGCTCCGCACAACGCGACGTCGGGAACAGAATGTAAACGTAACGAAGCGACGCGCGTCACTTCCGGTCTCTGAGCGCGACGACGCTGGTCGAATCAGCGACCCGGCCGGCAGGGGCGTCGCCAGTGTCGCAGCCACGTGGCCAACCAATTCAGATTGACTTATTTGATCTCGGTTTAACTTATTTTTTATCTTTTTCTAATTCTTTAGAAACAGAAAGGAAAAAAAAGTAAGTTAAACTGAGATTAAAATTAATCTGCGTTAATAGAAATGGACATTTAATCGATTGATTTGTCAGTATAATTGCAATCGATCAATCAAAGATTGACAATAAGTTATACAGATTTTATTATAAAAATTTTGCTTCGAGCAATTCTTCCAGTCAATTTAATCTTCGATTAGGCTAATCGGAACCTAATTAAAATATGATAGACTGCAAATGACGCCGAGTGCAGCTACGAGTAAATCAATTTCCGACGATAAAGACGCATCATTGCGAAAGAAGGATGATTTGCATAATGGCATACAATTAAATGCATAAAACGACAGATAAACGCGCAAATCGAAAAAAGTAAAATATAAATTATCTTGCGCTGTTTGCCAAATTCGATTTATCTGCACCGAGCCTCTCTCGATTTACATCTCGAACTGACTCAAATCACCCAGGAAACCACCTGGGTTCCCCTCTCTCTGCGCACGGCCCTGGGAGTCAGAGCTGTTTATTCGCGTCGTGCGATATATATATGTATTTCGCGCGATATTCGTGTCGCGTTCATCACGCTCGCGTGCGACGATTTACTCGCTGGAAACGGCAATATCCACGTATCAACGACGTGCGAATGTTAAAACTGGTTAAAACGTCGCCTGAACACGCCGGTCATTCCGAGTTCAACGATCTGTCGTCGCGAGGTCCGTTCCGCGCGCCGCGTTCGCACTGTTCGCAGCCTTTTTTCCTGCAGTTTCTGCACTCCGGGCACTCGGCGAGTGCGGAACGGATCGCGCGGAAGGGCCTAAGCAGAATGGCTGTCTTATAACCTTAAAGCTGGCCACACACACTTTTTCGTAACAGTAACAGTAGGATTTCGACCAATCGCGTTGCTCGCTTCAAAAACGTACGGCCATACGTTCCCGAATTGAGTAACACGATTGGTCGAAATCCTACTGTTACTGTTACGAAAAAGTGTGTGTCCGGGGCCTTAAGACTGATTTATAGAGGCCGTAACCGTTGATTTAAGCCGTAATCTTTAAGCCCGGTGTCCACGATGCAAGAACTGTGTCCAAGTTTCGATTTAAGCCAATCAACATGCAGATCTTACAGAAAAGTAGCAGTTTCATTGGCTTAAACCAAAACTTGGACACAGTTCTCGCATCGTAAACACCGGGCTTAAGAAATTGACCAATCGCAGTCGAATGTTCTTCTCACATTCGACTGTGATTGGTCAATTTCTTAAAGATTATGGCTTAAATCAACGGTTACGGCCTCTATAAATCAGCCTTTACGTGCAATGGCATTAAGTAACATTCACTCCATTCGCGTTGCTTGCACTTTTTGCACTCAGCATCTTCGCTTTCTCTCTCTCCAACGGCCGAATATTTATTTATCTCATTTCAAGTGCAAAAATGTTTGGAGATTTAAGCAACGCGAACAAACCTATTAGTACATTACGTTGTCTAAAGCCTGTCCACCATGCAAGAACTGTGTCCAAGTTTTGGTTTAAGGCTCGGTGTCCACGATGCAAGAACTGTGTACAAGTTTTGGTTTAAGCCAATGAAACTGCTACTTTTCTGTAAGAGTTGCAAGTTGATTGGCTTAAACCGAAACTCGGACCGATTTCTAGTATCGTGTACACAAGGCTTAAAGCCCGGTGTCCACGATGCTAGAACTGTGTCCAAGTTTCGGTTTAAGCCAATGAAACTGCTACTTTTCTGTAAGAGCTGCAAGTTGATTGGCTTAAATCGAAACTTGGACACAGTTCTTGCATCGTGGCACCGGGTTTTAAACCGAAACTTGGACACAGTTCTTGCATCGTGGACACTGGGCTTGAGGAAATAGACCAATCCGTTTCTTTATGCATAGGTGCATATGCATAAAGAAACGGATTGGTCTATTTCCTTATGCTCATGTATATGGACCAATCAATTTTCTTATGCTTATGTTTTTATGCGCTATGCAAGTTTATCTGGATAGATCTTTAAGCGGGGAGCACACACTTCTGCATAACGCATAATGCGTAAGCATAATGGAGGATTCACACTGCGTCCGATGTTCGACGTACGACGATCCGACATCCAATAGGAAATTTTTGTCTCTAATAATAAATTCTGTTATTGGATGTCGGATCGTCGTACGTCGAACATCGGACGTGATCGGACGCAATGTGAATCCTCCATAAGAAAATTGATTGGTCTATTTTCTTATGCACATGTGTATGACCCAATCAATTTTCTTCTTTCCAATAGAAAGCAGAGTGGATTCATTTCTATTGGTCAATTCTGTTAACTTTAACCATCGGTTAAGCTAACTGTGGTTGGTGAAATTGGCCCTAAACATGGCGATGACGAATGGAATTACGAATACGCGTGAATCCGCCGTGACTGTTTTGCCGTCCGATGTTACGCTGCGCAGCCTGCGCTGTTGCAAGGAAACTGTAGTGTCATTCGGTGTCATTCGATCTCGCGCAATTGCATTCGGAACACTTTAACGAACCAAGCATGATGGATCTGTTGACAGAAACTGGGAAAGGACGTTTACCCGATTACGAGGTGCAGGGAGCAAGAAAAGTGAGCTTCAGCCCGTACTCCGACAACGGAGGGTAGGTCGAGTGAAAGTAACCTATACCTCTATTGATTTCGAGCATCACGACTGAAGGACAGTCATTTATACATTCCTACGGTTGATCGGTATTCCTGATTTTCACTTTCTGACACTTCTTTGTTTCTACAAGCTTCATATTCTTTATATACTTATGGAGTACTTGAGAAGTTCACAAAACTGTAAAGATTCTGTCTCATCTTCCAGGAGTGTGGTGGCTCTTGCTGGGGAAGATTTCTGCGTCATAGCCGCGGACACGCGTCTCAGCACCGGATTCTCCATCTACACTCGGGAACAGGATAAATTGTTCCGCTTGTCGGACACCACTATCTTGGGATGCTCCGGCTGCTGGTGCGACACCTTGACGCTAACCCGTCTTCTAACCGCTCGCATGCAGGTATAAACTTTGCACTTCCGAACCATGTAGATTAGGATTGGAAAATAGTAAAGTATAATTATATGATATCGTACAATATACATATTAAATTGTCAGACAGTATGTATAAACAGTTGTCTTGCTTCAGATGTATAAACATGAACATCAAAAGGAAATGACGACACCAGCAGCAGCACAAATGCTGTCGATAATGCTGTATCACAAAAGATTCTTTCCTTATTACGTCAGTAATATACTTGCTGGATTAGATGAGAACGGGAAAGGCTGTATATATAGTTATGACCCAATTGGGCATTGCGAGAAAACTACATATAGGGCTGGTGGTTCAGCCGGCGCACTTTTGCAACCACTCCTCGATAATCAGGTATATATACATATATTTTAATCTCTAATATACATATACATATAAATTGTCTTTATACAATGTGAAACGTTTAAGAAAAGGGAGTTACATGATTGATACTGCAACTTATAACTACAACTTATAATTTTATATCTTCTAGATTGGCTACAAGAACCAAGAAGGCGTTACTCCTACGCCCCTGACTCAAGAAAAAGCTGTAGCAATCTTGAAAGACGTTTTTACTTCTGCGGCTGAGAGAGATATATACACAGGTGATGGAATAACCATCAAAATTATTACCAAGGATGGAATAAAAGACACCAGTTTTGCTCTGAGAAAGGACTAATGGGGAAAAAAAGCATTTATAATATATCTGCGCAAATAAAGTTATTTGAATATTCCGACACTGTCACTAAATTCTTTCTCTTTCAAACATTCTTTGAAGAAGGTAACACGGAGAGAGGGAATCTAATCATTTTTTTGTAATAGATCTTGAATGCACATATTGAAATTGCATACATGATAATCTGAAATATATAAATACACGTAAGCGATACTTGAAACGTTTTTTTTTTTTTTATATATTTATAAACTACATTTTCCACTTAATATATGAGCGTGAAAATCTTATCTATATTTATTTTATAAATTTTTAATAAATCTTTGTGATGCTCTCATTCAGAACAAATACCTAATACTTTATCATAAATTAAAAATTTTATTCTGCCACTCAAACATACGTTTCGCTTTTATTTCATGATTAGCATTGGTAATGTACACTTAAAAATCTATAACAAACGATTTACGCGCGAAGGTAACTCAATAAGCCTTGTTTAACGTTATACGCTATGTTACTGTATGCACCGTATGTAATCGTATATTACTCCGTACGTATTCGTGATATCCTAAAATATGTTTCTTTTTATTTCATACATAAAGACAAGTTAATTATAACCCATTTTTTACCATTTTCACAATATCCATATAACCAAAGGAAAAGAGGGTAGGGGTTTGTTTCTTTTTTTGTTGCGTTCCATTCTACCGTCTTCCTTCTCATAGTTCTTCCTTGGGAACAGTATATAAGGATCGAAAGATAGACATTGCTTCCCCCCGAGATTCACTTCTTCGTCCCGGGGGCTGTCATCGGTTTGCCACGATCTTTACCGCGCAATTTGATTCCGAGTACTCGCTCGATTTTGCCGATCACCATCTGGTTCGGTATTCCACGTCCCGCCTCGTAGTCATTGATGACTTGCGCCTTCTCGTTTACTTTCTGTAAGAAGCACATTGAAAATAAATGAAAATATTCGTGCTTTATTCTCCTCTATTAATAAGTGGTTTGATGAAATTGTATGACACAAATACTTTACCGTAGCCAGATCTTTTTGCGACATTCCTTTGCTCTGTCGTCCTTGCTGGATAAGTTTGCCGAGTTCGAGTGGAACGTGATCATGCTTCAATTCCTCTGTCTCACGATCCAATTTGGCCGTGTTCTTCGTCGTCACATGTTGTCTGTTCGCACCACCACCCCCTAGTCAGAAACATTATTTGCCTCAGTGGTCGAATTGGCAAAGATGCCCGTCACGAATTGGAAGGAAGTGCAGGCAGGTAGGTACGAACCCTGGCTGGGGTGATATTTCCGCAATAAGTTCTTTGTATCAATAGTTTTGAAGGATGCTTATTGATCAAGATAAACATCAAGGAGTTAAATTAATTATTGATTTAGGACTGGTTGTTCCAACCTATTGGTGAACTAACTAATAGTTAAATCATATGTCTATCTTGTTTAACTTGAAGAAAAAACAAAGACACATATATGATTTAACTATTAGTTAGTTTACCAACAGGTTGGAACAACCGACCCTTAATTACGTGTATTAATTAGACCAACAAAACTGTTTCAAGACCGACAAACAATCGACGAGCAGTGAGTGGAAAAAAGTATATAAAACATTATATCATATAAAATGTTATTAGACTACAAAAAGATCCGACCGAAGATGGCACTTCTCTTCATTTAATTATGGTATTACTTTTCTGTTTCAAAATTATTGTATTTTCGATAAAATATTATCAGGAAAAAATAGTAAGACAACATATGTTTGCGGCAAGACACTTTTAAAATATTATTATTCTATATCTATAGAAACCGCGTGTCATTTAAAATATTGCTTAATGAAAAATCTACGATGCTGTCTCTTTCTATTATAATATAATTTATGTAGTATATTGATAAGTTATTATACATACTTCCTGAAATAGATAACCTATATACATAATATTTACATATATTCTATAGGTACATTAACATTAACGCATCAAAATGCTTTTAAATTACTTCGAACTTTTTACCTATGACTCTCAATATGATACAATAATGCGGATTACGTGCACTTTTTTTACTGCAACCATGCTAATACTTGCATACCTTGTCATTCTTAAGAAAGGAAATAAAAACATGATAATTAGCATTTTTACAATTCTCAGTTCAGTGGAACTGTTTTTTTAAAGATTGTTTGGAATAAGACAAATCTTATCAGTCTCCAACTGATTGCTCCAGTTTTTGACACAAATCTTTCAGCACCTTTTCCCCTTATGAAACCGTGATGTAACTCGGTTCCTCTTATCATAGATAAGAGAGTACGCAGAATCGTTCGCTCGGTACGCAGACTTTGTTTATGTTGCGACAGGAACAGTCGCGAAAAGAATATGCAAAATCACCCGGCGAGGGGGAGAGTCGGACTCGTGCTACTCACACTTCGCCTGCGTCTCCACGGCGTAGCCTTGTCGCCGAGCGTCGTTAACCGCCTGTAAACAAACACAATCCGGTTACACAATCGCGCGGCGCAAATACCTATTGTACGCGGCGGCTGACCAGCCGCGGCGGACCACGTACGTACACGAGCTACATTGGTTACCTTCTCAGTTTTCAGCGTGGACGACTTCGGAGCGCGTTTACGGAGAGTGATAGGCGCGGTATCCCAGTCTGACATGGCGTTTAAAAAAAAAATAAAAAGAGGGAATATATCACAACAACGAGGGACTGCGGAGGAGGTTTTGTTCGCGGTGTCCGGGGGAGGGGGAGGAACACGAAGCGCTCGCGCGAAGGACGTTTTCTCGGACACGCGTGTGGCCACTGCGACGATAGCGACCGCTCTATACTCCCGCCGCCGTGGTGCGTGGTGTCGTGGTTGCGTTTCCAGCGAGGTCCCCCCAAGCAAGGTCTTCTCTCCGCCTCGCGGACGTTCCGAAAATCATGCGGCGCGGCCGCTCGATCGACCGGCGCGAAGCCACGATGATTCCGCGAACATCGGGGGTCGTCCGATTACCGAAGACACCGCGGGGATACCGCGCGGCGTGCCCTCGCAGCTCGCAGCTCGCCGGATTCGGCCGGATCTCTTCCTCGCTTAATTTTTTTCACCGCGACGCCGGCCGGAAAAATTGCGACGCGGCGCGACGCGACACATTCCCGCGAGTCCCACGAGCATCGACCCGTGACGGCGTGACCGCGAATTTCGAAATCCGTTATCCGAAACGCGACTGCGGTGTGCCAGGGGTGAACTGGTGAAGTCCCATGAAGCCAGCGTACGGCGTACCGGCGTATGGCGAAATCGAAGAATTAATTAAACTTGACTAATCACAGGCTCGTTTTCGTTTACGCCAGCACAAACATCGGCTGTCCCATGGA